CATTTAACAATTCAGATGATACCTCTTAATAAAACTATTTAAGAAGTAAATAAACAACCCTTTATGTGTGTACAATTATTGTAATATTTTAGTTTAATACTTACTAGATTATTAATTTAAAGTTGAAATGTTAAAAAATATTAGAAAATACAAAAGAAAAATGATATTTAAATTCTATAATAATAAACAACTGATTCTTTTTTACAGTTTTTTAAATGCGTAATTTTCTAGAAATATATACATATAATATTCTTGTATTACTCCTTGTTGGTCCSGAGGTACGGAGGAGACTAGGTTAGCTCCCATTTCGAGTCAAGAGATAGATAAATAGACACATCCCAATGCACTCTATTTCACCCAGACAGTGCCCAGGTCGTTACGCCTTCGTGCGGCGAAGAATCAAATTATCACTATATTTATTCTTTTTTCTACTTCTTGAACATGGTAAAATAAGAAATTGAAAGATTTTCTCATCAATGGACTCCTGATGTATACGAAGGAGTGCGGTTCATTGAACAGAACATTGAATAAAACAGTACCCGAAGGTTCACAGTTATTAATCAATTATGAGGATAAACCACTGCCTCTAAGGTGTCCAGACTGATTCTACCAACGATCATACATTGTTGCAGTGTTGTATCATCCTTGAATACAGAATTACAAATTAGTGAAAAATGATAAATCATGAATATTATTAATTAGAAGTGAAATAATATTATAGAGTTAATGTTTTTTTTTAAAGTATTTAAGTTTTATTATTTTAATAATTATTTAGAAAAGAAAAAATAAAAAAATTAGATGGTAGGTAAAAGCTACAAATATTCAAAGGACCAACATGCGACAGTCCCAAAGTGAATATAGATAGATAGATGGTAGTAGGCTTTGACCATCACTTGCGTTTCTAACTTTGACTCCCATGTTTCCTGTTGACCATTTTTATATATAATAAAATATTTATATACAAAAAATATTAATTTTATATATTTTTATACGATTCTTCATATATATATATAGAGAGAGAGAAAAAAAAAAACGGAAAAAATACTCTAATAACCATTCATTTGGAGGGTATATACATGTGTATTCAAGTACTTGAAACTGTTTTGTTTTTGTTTTTATGTATGTACGCATGTAATGCAGATATATATACTGGACAAATTGTTTACAAATTACTTGTATACGCATGTGCATACCGTATAGATGAATGGTTACCAGAGTGTTTCTCAGTTTTTCATTTTTTTGTGGTTTTTCTCTGAACCARACACTATATATTAAAGAAATTCTTCAAGTTCATTGGCCTCGACTCATTTTGTTTGGGATGTTTAAAAAATAGTTAGATAAATCTAGATCGTTTTTATAGTTTATATGATTTGACGGTATAGTCTGGTTTATTTTGAAAAATAGTCAAACCATATGGTTTAATTTTAATATACAGTTCGACCCTTTTCATTTACAAATATATTCTTTGATATTTAATCATATAGACCGGTTAGACTATACAACATTTTTCTGGTCTAATGGTGGTCTGTCTAACCAGTGTGGTACCTCCATGCCAAATGGCAAGGTTTTGAAAAGCTTCTTAACCGCACCATCAATATATCAGACTGCAAACATCCCTGTTTTGTTTATTATTTAACGAAAATACCATGTTAATATTTACATATCTTAGTCGATTTAATCTTGTTGGATCATGATTTTGATCGTTACAGTTTACAGATAAAGACGATATAAAAAGCCAATGTACTTTAATGACATAACTCATAGTCCAAATTGAACTATGAAGTGCTCCAACTTAAAAACAATATATTTGTCTTTTTGCATTATCAACATAAGGGCATTTGTGTCTTTTTAAAAGATAATAAACTAGTTCAGATAAAAGTCTTGAAACCAAACCAGCCTAGTCCCGATCAAAACTGTAACGACCTGAATGACTGTTGCTGAAAACTTATCATCTAACTATCCTTTCTTTCTACTAATATCACAGCTATCTCAAGGTTCCGCATTCAACATATTGATATCATCTTATATAACGTTTAGACTAGAAGTCTTAAAAAACATGGCTTCTTAAAACACATTTTCTTAAAATCTCTTAAGCACAAGTTATTTAAGAGCCATTTTTCTATCGATGTATTCCTGCTCCCAAGAAGATGTATTTGTTCTACCGAAAGGCCTTTGGTTTAGCGGTATGTGAATCTTTGGCCTCATCGGAGGTCAATAGTTCAAACCTCACCGAAAGTGAGGAGGGGGTGTGAGTTTATTTGTTCTATTTACCGTATATAAAATATTATATACTTAAAAAAATGTATTTGTTCCTAAGACGCATACAGTCTTTTTTTTTTTACAGATATCATAATTATCTCAAAGTTCCTACTTTCAGCAGATGTTATATTATTGAAATGATACGATAAATATATCAAGTACTCATAAAATCTAATGAAGTTATGCACGTATAAATGTGTGAAACTAAACAATATATAATTATAGTCTCGTTCTTTTACAAACTCAACAATGCGTGCAAACTTACAAACATGTATGAAAATAAAGTGTTTATACAATGTTCTTTCACATGTAAAATATTCAAAACTGTGTTGTACAACAAACATCAAATCTTAACAGCAAAAACACTAGGAGGGTTTAAAGTGCTTTGTTATGAAGGTTCCGTGTTATTTATGTGGTCTCACGAAAACAAATATATATATATATATATATATATGTGTATGAATATATGTGTTGGTTGGGTGGGGGTGAAGTCCGTGACAAAAAGCTGATAAAGAGTTATACAAGACAGTAAATGTTCAACTGTAAATGATGAGTGAAGGCAGCAGCAGAGTGTAGGTATGTAACATAGGCCTGTATATATAAATCTATATCTATATATATATACACACACATATATATATATATATATATATGTATACATGATGATGATGATGATGATGTAGTAAGTATAGAGTGGTCCTCTCTTATATTTGCTTTCCCAAGTGTCCTCTTAATTTTGTTTTTTACTATACAGAATTCAGACTTACCTCTTTATCCATACTTACACAACCTACAACCCTTTATTGCTGCAGGTACAGCTTGTTTAATAAATATTTTTACCAAATTATTGCTATTTTACCACAAAAAGAAAACAGAGAGGAACCCTCACCAGATTCAAAGTGGATCTTTCTTTCTTCTTTCTTTCATTCATCCACCACCCCCCACATGCACTTATACCACCACCACCATCATTCAGCACACTAAGGATCCAACTTATGGAAACTGAATAAGGAAAAAAAAAAAAAACTCAATCAATCGAGTCCAGTATATCCTATCAAGAGATGGGGTTTGGAGATGGTAAGATGTACACATATCTGACCTCTATCTGAATTACAGTCTACCAAGAGATGGGGTCTGAAGTTTGGCCCACTTCCAGGAAATTAAGACTTGAGATGACCCACCTCCGCAAGTTTGGAACTTTAGTGGCACTTGAGTTGAGTTTTTTTAGAAAATTACCCCTCCGCAAGTTGCAGCAAGCGCACTTCTGGAGGTATTGATTTTTTTGGTAAGTGTGGGAGAGAGATGGCTAGGAGTGAATTGAGCTAGGTAAAACAGTTATTTACGTTAATTTCTCTAATATGTGCACATATCTGACTTCTATCTAAAAGAGTAAAATGGTTGTTTTCTGAATGTCTAATGTGTGAAAGGGAGAAATACATATATGGTAAAATTTAAAAAGGAGTAACCAGGGGGATTGGGTGTAACTATATTGATAAAAGGAATATGGAACTAGATGGTTTTTGTGGGTCTGGCAAGTACTACAATATTTGACAATAATACTATACAATATTAAGCGTCGGTTTGTTAGCAGTTTAATGACTAATGAGTTTAATGGAACTCACAGTTTATTTGATCAACTATGCATGAATGTTTAGTAGTGATTTAATAATCTAAAAAGTGGCTTAATCAATAACTTTCTAGAGGAGCTTTATGCATAAATCCAAGTTTTTTTAAACCTTCCACTCTGAATTTGAAAACAAGCTCTTTCCATTATTGAAAAAATCATTCTAAGCAAAAATCTTCTCAATCTATACAGACAGATTAATTCACACAAACAATTTTATTCATATAGGAGTCAATGAAAAACCAACCAAACAACCTCTTAAGTAATGTACCTTTTTAAAGTAGTAGATGTCAGGACTGCACATATCTTACCCTCCAGATCCCGTTGTAATAGTAAGTAATGTACCTATCGGGATTGTCACAAATGGGCCTTTTGCAACTTCATATGACACACCCCATAACAAGATCATGTCATCACTTTGGATGTACCTAAAATAACACATAACCGCAACCAAACAGGAGGAACCCAATAAATTTGTAGGGCCTGAGAAGTGTAAAATGTATGGTTAGTGCTATTTGTTGCTAATTCACCAGTCTTGAAAGAACAAACCTGAACCATAGTGTAAAAAGATTCAAATCCATGGCTTAGGTTGTAACTTCTTGAAGAATCTTGCCACTTTGGGTTAGCTTCTTTAAGAGTTTCAAGGACCAAAAAGAAGCGAAATCGTCCATTGATCTTATGTAACGAGATCAGTTCCTTATATCGCAGTGATAACCACAAACGAGTGACTAAAAGACCCCTATGGTATTGCGATTTGTTTACCAAAAGTCTCCACAAGAGCATACTCCGAAGCCAAAATGATGGAATCTGTTAGCATCTCTAACGATAATTTCTTGTTCAAAATACTCTGAAACAAGCTTGCTGAAAGTATGACAATCGTCACACACACGAAGGTTCTTTGTGATACGAATTGGCGTTCCTTTGGTGGTTTTAAGTAATCCATAAGCAATAGCCAGTCTTTCACTGTGCCCATTAAGCATTTCTGCTTTGTCTTTCTGTTCTATATCGTGCAAAATGTACTTAGTTTCAGCTACATAGCCTCCTTTCCTCTTAATGGTATCGTTAATTTGAGCTAATTTGTTGTAAATCTCATCGGATTCTGGATGAGACTTGTCCCTAACAGTAAAAACATGAATCTTGTTCCCAATCTCAATCCAGCTACAACCGGGATCTTTCTTCAAACCCTGTTGCCTCATTTTAGTTCTTAAGTAATCAACATCATCCCATCGGCCACACAACGCATAGAAATTTGATACAAGAACAAAGTTCTTCATCTTCTCTGAATCTAATTCAAGAAGTTTTTTGGCTGCAAAGTTGCCTAATTCTAAGTTAGAGTGCATCTTGCATGCACCAAGAAGCGAACGCCAAATAGCAACATTTGGGTTCGTTTCCATGTTTCTAACGAACATGAATGCTTCTTCTAAGTTGTTTGCACGACCAAGAAGATCAACCATACAAGTAAAGTGCTCTTGCCATGGATCCAGAGCGTAATCATGTACCATCGATTTGAAAAAGGATTTTCCTTCATTAATCAATGATGAATGGCTACAAGCATAAAGAATTGCCAAGAAACTTACATGATCAGGAAGAACATTCTCGGCCACCATTTGGTTAAATAAGCGAACCGCTTCCTTTCCGAGCCCGTGCATTCCGTATGCATTGATCATGCTAGTCCACAAGACTAAATCTTTGACTTGAATGCAACTAAACACCTTAAATGAATCATTCAAAGCTCCACATGAGGCATACATATCAACAAGAGAACTTGAAATTGGACCCTGGAGAATGAACCCTTTTCGTATTATGTACCCATGAATCTCTTTTCCTTTTCGTAATGCAGATAAATCCACAGCCGCAGAGAGTAAGCTGAGGAGTGCAATTGAGTCAGGCTCGATTCCTGTTTCTTTCATGGACGTAAAAACGTCAAAAACTTCATTTGAAAATCCATTTTGAACTAGACAACACATCATGATTGTCCAAGAAACAACATTTTTTACACTAATAAGTTCAAAAACACGAGAGGCGTAATCTATGCATCCGCACTTCCCGTACGTATTGGTGAGTGTATTCTGAAGGACTATATCATATAACCCTTTTCGTATTATACGACTATGGATTTCTTTCACAACAGAATGACACATCAACTCACTACAAGCTTGCAGAATGCTAGAAATCAACACAGAATCACTTTCGATTCCTTTCATTTGAGCTTCACGGAATAACGATAATGCCCTTGAATGACATCCATTCTGGACATAGCCTGCAATGATGGTCGTCCAAGAAATGTCATCTTTACACCGTATCCTCTCGAAAACGGGATCTGCATAGTTCATTTTACAACACTTCGCATACATATCAATAAGCGTGTTACAGACCTGCAAATCAGAGTCCATCCCATTTTTGATAGCATATGCATGAAGTTCGAGACCATTCGACAAACTTCCCAAACGACCAACAGTTGATATCATGCTTATAATCGAATATTGATCAGGTTTTTGACCCACAACCTGCATTCTGTGGAATGCAGCCACAGCTTCATCATAAAGACCATTTTGAACAAATCCTGATAGCAAAGAGTTCCATGTAATACTATCCTTTTCATCCATGGCATAGAAAATTCTTGCAGCTTCTTTCATTTTGCCACCCTTTGTGTACATAACAAGCAATGCGTTTGCCACAAACATATCGAAATAAAGATCAGATTTCAAAAGAAATGCATGAAGTTCCTTGCCAAACACCATATATGACAGCTCTTCACAAGCTTGAAGCGTGGCAACAAAAGTGTAAGTGTTCGGCACAACCCTGGATATCTGCATTTCTCTGAACAACTTCAATGCCTCTGCAGATTTCCCAGCAGCAGAATAAGCTGAAATAATCGAATTCCATGATACCACATTGGCTTCATCACTCATGCTCTCAAACACCACCATTGCTGAATTTGAATCATTGCACTTTGCATACATTCCCATTAATGAATTGCTTACATACACATTACAAAGCAAACCCAATTTAATGGACAAGCCATGAACTTGAACCCCATAACAACGATTTTCGAGCTCCCCACAAGCCTTAAGAATCGACGTATAAGTACTAGCATCAGCAGGAATTCCCAACGCATTCATATCAGAAAACAATTGAATAGCCTCAATAGGTTCTCTATTTGTCATATGAGCTCCAATCAAAGCATTCCATGTGAAAACACTTCTTTCAAACATTTTATCAAACATTTTCTGAGCATCCAGTATGGACCCAGATTTCCCATAGGCAAACACAAGCTTAGTACTTAAAAACCTCCTATCATGTACAAATCTAGACTTCAAGACATGGGCATGAACTTGCTTAACTTGTAACAAAGATTCATTTGTGGAACAGCGCTCAAGAACTAACGAATAAGCATCATCCAAACAATTGTTATAACGTGTGTCTTGGTCAATGAGACTGCTTGTAAGCGAACCAAAAGCTTCCTTTAGGGTTCGTGGATGCGTGTTAATGGAACTACGAGAGAAATTGCGAACAGATTGGATACTATGATCACCATTTTCCCCTAAAATGGGAGCTTTTACAGTCGTCAATAGAGTAGCCATTGACGTTTTGACCCCAGATTGATTGGCTAGCGTAGATAATTCAGTTTTGGAATAAATTACAGTTTTGGTCCTTGCGGTTTTATAATTTTCATAGAATACGTCCCGAACCTTCATTTATTATTCAAAAGCCCTTGTGGCATTGATTTTATCATGGATTTGGTCTCCAACCTCCTAATACCATTACAATTAAAGGTGATCATTTGAACAACTCAACCTAATGCTCTTACAGTTTGAAAATAATACCATTACAATTAAAGATAGTCATTTGAACAACCCAACCTAATGCTCTTACAGTTTGAAAAATCTTAACGGTTGGTCCGAGGTCACCATGAAGATGAAGAGCCTTCTCAACTCAAAATTTTCAAATCCCCACCAAGTATATTCATATATGAATATGTAATCCCATGAAGATGAAGAGCAAATGCCCACCACGTATATTCACATGTGAATTCAATACCATCCATCAAACCATTGGCAAAATTCACCATAAAAAAACCCTCTATAACTCAAATTTCCACTATAGATTTGAAGACTAAAACAAATGATATATGTGTAGTGCATGCATATTCTTACAAAAAAAAATAACAATAAAACACAACACAACCCCAAGCCAAATTAGGGGCATTTCATTACAACACTCATCTCCCCCCTCCTCCCTTAACACAACTATACAAATTCAAATCATATAATCTAAGATTTCCCCCTTCTCTTTCCTTCCTTTCTTCCTTCCTTCCTTCCTTCTATGTACACCATTTCCGGCATCCCATCCGATCGACACAAGTTCACGATAAAACAAAAACAAGAAACGTTTCATGTACCTCCAATTCCGTGATTTCACCCGTCAACTGTTTCTTCCTCGTAATCCCCGGCCAGCCCTTTTCGTGTTTGGAGGATAGGATGGACGCAGAACCCTTTAAACGGTTCTTTCTTACCGACAATATGATTACCTCAAACCCCTACCTAAATCACCCCCTTCTGATAGAATTCCGCAAGCTTTCATCGGGTAACGTCCACGAGATCAAATGGCCGCCGGCATCACCGCTCAGAAGTTGCTTCATGTCGCTCGTGAGGTGAAGGGCGGTGACGGAGTGTTTGTGACCCCTGAGGACCTTTCGTAGAACCAGTGTGTACTCGGGCACCTTTGCACCGAGCCCTAATCCACACGACTGGCTCGAAGACACCTTCCCATGAGGGGTAGTTTGGACATTTTCGCTAGAGTTATGAACCATTTGCCAAACCTTAACCGCACCACTCTGATGACCCGATACGTACCAGTTGGTTTCCAGCCAATCAGAGAAGGTACAAGTGGTCACCGACACGATGAAATCAGACGGAAGCTGAGAAGTATTAACGACCGATAGACAGTCTCCGTTTATACTCCAAACTGCAAGCATGATTCCTGCAGCTGTCACAATTTCACCGGTTAGTTCGTTCATATAAATAGCTGACACCGGAGATGAGAACTCCGGCAGCTGCCGAATGAAAACCAACGAGCTAAGATCCCATAAAATCACACTGCGATCATCTGAACCGCTAATAATAATCATATAAGGCTGGCAAATATGAAGACAAGTGATCTTAGCCGTGTGAGCGGAAAGCGCTTTCTCCAATTGTAAGCTTCGTGGTCCACGGAACCCACTGTAGCCACTAGTCCGCCAAACGCAAACCAACCCGTCGTCTGAACCGGTGACCAGAACCTGACCATCATGGCTAGCACTGGCACACTGGATCTGGTTGCCACCATGGAGGTTCTCATGGGTCGAGAAGAGTTTATCTTGATCGTAGCTCAAATATCTCAAACTACGGTCGGGGAAACCCCACGCGACATAATTGAAGTAGGTTCTCGGTTTAAGTAGATTGTTTGGACCGACCATAAGGATTTTGTCGTTAGAAGTGACGATTTGGGCTATGGAAGATGCACTTTTACGAATCTCATGTGGAACGAGATAGGTGGAGTATTTGAGCAGATTGATAGGAGGTTTTCGATCCTTCTTTCTTTTGGCGTGCGCCCTATGAAATAGTTGCTTAGGTGTTTGGCCGAAGTGATTGATTTGAGCGAGAATGGATGCTTTCATTGCAGGATCGGTAACTGCATCTATGTCGACACTTCCCTCATATGTGTAGTGGTAGAACACGTTAACAGCTTCCTCAGCCGCCTGTCAAAAGGAGAATTTAAGGAAATGGAAACCAAACAAACTGGAAATATGCAGAAGCATTCGATCACTTAGAAAGTTCAAATGAGAACCATATATATTTTGAGAACTTATGAACCCACTATTTCATGTATTATTCACAATGAATACCTTGAATAATCATAGGCTCTCATTGATGAATAACATTCATCATGAATAGCTATCACAACATTCATTATGAATGAAGTATGAATTAGTGGGTTTCTGGGTTCTCAAAATATTAACGGGAAAGAGGAACCGTAAAAAACATTAATCCTCACCTTCCCGCGTTGTTTATAACCAAATATGAGGTCAATCCAGTGATGCAAATTCTCCGAAACATAATCAGATTCCAGAGCTTCCCTATGCTTCCTGATGAACTCTCTAGCACTACCTTTGGCCCAAGGAGGTAGCACAACATCACCAACCTGAAAAGTACCCAGTGATGCAATTCAAAACTCATTAGCAAATCCACTGTATTGCTTTAAACATAGAATGACTGAAATATTCATAATGAATTCTTTGAATATTCATTATGAATATCCACTCATAATGAATAATCATTATGAACATCTGATTCATGGGTTACCGAATATATATGGTTCGGCGCCTAGAAATACATGAAACATTCTCAACAGGAAATCAATAAACGAAAAAGAGAAATAAAGAAACAGACCTTCTCTCCTGATTGTTTCTCTCCGAGGTCAAGATCGAATCTGTTTTCCAGGAATTCCGGCATATAAAAGAATTCCGGAATCAGTTCCTTTACGTCCGATGTGTTGCCTCTTCCGGCGGCACTTGACCATGTATCCCGTACACTATTGAAAAGGCGATCAGCATGATCAAACTGACCACCCTGCAGCTTTTGATTCTCTGTACTGAACGGTGGCAAGCGTAAAAGATAAAAAAGAACAATCCCCGCACTAGAATAGTGAGAACCATAATGAAATTTGGGGATTTCCGGATCATCCCAGCTTTCATACCTGATAAAAAGTCAAAATGATAAGAAGGGAGTAACAAAAGATCCCAACTATCTGAAAGAAAAAGTATAAAATAAATCCAACCTTTTCTTGAACTCATCTTCTCCCTCTTCTGTTTGACATCCCATGGGTTTGTCGAGTTTACGGAATGATTTTTCATTGGTTAAGTCCAGATTTTCGCTCTCGTAATCCGACAAAACCCAAGGGAAGACTGGATATTGAGTAAGATCACTGTACCCACGACCTGCAAGCGTGTTTAGATGCATCAAGTACTGGAAATTGCTGATTTCTCCGTATTGCCATCTCTTGGAGAAGGATTTCGCCATAATCTTAAAAGCGCTTTCTTGTTTCGCTGATCCTGAAATCGTGGTGTCCAACCTGTTTTAAAGAACGAAACTTCGGTAAGCCAATAGCTTTAACAACACAATTATTGCTTAATGGTATAGAAAGTGGCTTATTCGGTAAGCTTCTAGGGGGAGCTTTATATAGAAAGCCAAGTTTTTTTCCAAATTTGCCCATCCCAATTAAAAAACACTCTTTTTCCATCTATGAAAAAACCTCATAACCAAAAATCTTCTTAATTTATACAGACAGATTAAACCACACAGACAGCTTTATCCGTACAGCATTTAGGACCTGTTTGTTAGCAGCTTATAAAGACTAATGGGATTCACAGCTTATTTGGTCAGCTATACGTGACTGTTTGGTTTTGGCTTAATGATATAGAAAGTGGTTTATTAAGTAAGCTTCTAGAGGGGAATTTTATAAGGAAAGTCAAGTTTTTTTCCAAACCTGCCTCTTCCATTAAAAAAACACGGTCCTTCCATCTATGAAAAAAACCCTCCCAAACAAAAATCTTCTTGATCTATACAGACAGATTAATCCATACAGGACTTAATGGAAAACCAACCAAACAGCCCCTAAATGACCTTTTGACAAATTATTTTTTAAAATCCATGATTCTTGTGTATGTATCAAAGAGGCATTCTTCTGTTAAGCAGTGGCATTCTTAAACTAGTCAAAAGGTCATGGATTTTATAAAGAAAACGTCAGAAGGTCATTTAATGGAAGGACCCGTAAATTAAATCGAATGGGGATATAAACATACATGCTGTTTCTTGGAAGATTCAAGGCCACCAAGTTCTTGAAAACTTCTTCCCTCTCCTTTTTATGGAAAACGAGAAGATCGTTGCATCCATCCATGCTGAATATCTCAATAGCAACAGGACGCAGCTGGTAATCTCGTTTCAAGATTTCGTGGACGCTATTCAGCTTCCACATTCGCCACGGATGAGGTACGTTTCCACTATTCGTAACTTTCTCCTTACCCCATGAGCCACTATTATAAGCCCAAGCACGTCCACCCGTATGTGATTTTACGGTCATACCCCATGATGAAGTTAACTTGGAACCGGAGTCCATACTGCAAGAGAAATCTTTCGTTACACCTAAAGCTTGATCGATAACCGAAAGTTCACCTTCACATTCCTTCTCACAAATGCAACCAGATTCATCGATATAGAAGTTCTCTATGACATATAAACAAAGTTCTCCGATAAGAAAGATCCCATCGTGTTTATCAAGACCCACAACTCGTTCACAATTGTATCTGAATTTTATCTTCTCGGTATGTTCAAGATAAGGCCGAATTAAGTACTCCCCGTTGTTACTAAGATCCTTATCGATTTTATCCTCCATTGCTCTAACCTCTTCGAATCTCGTTGAAGATGACTTCTTTGGAGAACTTAAGATAGATTTTTCTTGAATGCTTTCCGTTAGTGGTGCAGTTGCTGAACTGGATTTCATACTAAATCCAGCAGCAGAATGAAGACTTTCATCGTTAATGCTACTATCCCTATCGTTATTCCATCCAAATCTACCCAAAGCCTCATCTTTCACACCATCTGATTCCTTAGTGATGGAATCACCGTACAGTTCGTCATCAGGAGTTTCCTCCTTCCCATCGCTCAGCACAATATTAGAGTAAGAATCCGACTCGGCATCAGCATCGGAATCATTAAGATCGTTATCTGTTTTCTCCTTTGATATCTCCCCAAATTCTAACTTCCCGTTTAGAATGTGTTGGACCGTGTCAACTTTTAGTTTGCAGCGCTCCAATTTCTTCCGCATTCTATACGGGCCTTCAATCGGGCAAAGCTGCCATTCGGGCTCTTCGCTCGAAAACGATTTGGGCAACGAGAATACACCTTGCTCGTGTACAAGTTGCTGAAGATGTGTTTGCCATTCACTTTCAGCATGGAGTACCCATCCATACTTATCTTGACGAACAACTCTGAGTTCCGTACACATTGCATCACGAACCAAATCCAATGCAATTCTCCGTTCATTAACTTGCTCCCAATGTCTTTGGTCCAATTTCATCGAATCCCTTAATTTTCTACCGATCTCTTTCTTTCGACGACCATCCATACCTTTGATTCGCACTCCCGGGAACTTCACCGAACCCGCAACATACTGCACCCACATAATGGTGGCACATTGTTCCAAAGTTTTATTAACAACTAGTTCAGACATATTTAGCCACTCGAAGAAGGTGGACAGACTTCCGGTAAGCAGGAGGTCAAAACCACCATGAAGAACGTCCAAAACCGGTCCTTGGTTCGGTTTGGATACGAGCATGTCCTCCAGTGCAGGTCTACGGTGCACCAAAAGATGCCGGAGAATATCAACTGCCAAATGCTGTGCATGCGGTCTCTGATCGTGTAGAAGTGAGATCAAGTTTATACAAAGACAGCACATTAGATCGGTATCAAGATTACTCGGGCAAAAGATTATTCGGCTATGAGCAATGAGTAACTGTAAAACCGTGCATATATCTATCACCCCGTCATCTTGTACCGCACTGGGACCCATCATTCTCTTCCGTGGCTCGATTTGTAAACCTAATCGTGAAAGAAACTCATCTTCTCCGATGGATATTAAGAACGAAGGAAGGAAACAGTACATGGTAATACGATTCATATTCTTAAAAATCGCGTGTACGTAAGCATCAAGTTGCTTGGCTCCTCTTCCGATAGACAAAATCCCTTTGCCAGCCGGCAGTGCTTGTTCGATTCGACCATCTTTGTTTGCGAGCTGTAACATAGACAACAAGAATTCCAGCGTCTTCAGTACAGCAGCAGGCTGAGGAAACGCACCCATATAAGCACGATCGACAATCATCCAACACAGAGCGTCTAGATTCAACGACCATCGGGTCTTATCTAATTTCTTCTCATCTTCCTCATCATCACGCAAGAGCCGCCTTTCGAGGAAGTTCATGAGTCTAGTAAGACACAAACCCTGGAAAACCAATACAGATTCAGCATCAACATACAAAGGAACCGTCTCCAAAATGCTTTCGATAATCGGTGTCGCTTTTATCTGCTCAGTTACAAAATCGGCAAGAACTTCCACCATGAAGTCTAGAACAGCCGTTGCCCCTACAGAACAAGGACCACCACCATAACCGGAATCATCCACATCAAGAAGCAGTTGCGGATTAACCGTAGAAAACGGATTTGGTACTTGGAAAGGGGACTTGAGGTTGGGAGTTGAATCGAAGTCGTTCAGAGATACAGCAGATTCCATGGAAGGAGAGGCGGTCGATTGAGTTTTGAATTCATTGGCACTCCCGAGCCAAGATGGTAAGGCGAAACCACCCTGGGATGGAGAGGGTGTCGCCTGAAACCTCGAAATAGATCTCTCTGATAACAATGGGGAATCATATATACTTAGAGATGGGGAACTCGGTGATCCCGTTGGGTGAACAGCCACCGGAGTGATTTTGAGATCGTGAAAATTTAACTGCTTGTCGGAAGGGGCAACCGCTGGCTGGTCAACGGGTTCACAATCTTCTTCGCTTGACTTTTCCATGGCAACGGGAGTGTCTTCAGAACTTGCACTTCCCTGTGCTGGAGGGAAGCTTCTGAGGCTTATGGAGGTCTTAGCAGACTCTTCCTGCTCAACGGGCAAGCTCGAAAACAATTTCTCGGAACTATAAGCATCGTCACCGGTGCCATCGTTTATGTTTTTGTCTTCGGCCTTTATCGACAGCTCTTTCGCCATCATCACAGCATTAGCAGACCTAAAACACAGGAAAAAAACACTCAGCAAATTAAAAAAAAAAGCAAATCAACTTGCTTTGGATTATAGATTCATGTTTCGTGTAACGAAGGGGTGTTTGCGGTGCAGTTTGGTGCCAGACCGCAAACCGCACTGCATATGCAATTTGAGCATTTTTCGCACCACATATATCTCAAACCGCAAAGAAAACGCACCGCATTATGCGCTTAGTACCTTACGCACTTTACATCTAGAATGCAATAATTATAAGATTAAAACTTTATCTAGAATCAATGATAATGCGACCCTAGTAAAATAAAAGTTTAAATACATCTGATTCCCAAATACATATTGCATAATTAAAAAGTCTAAGAAAACTAAAAATATTATATAATTAAAGAGTCTAAGAAAACTAAAAATATTACGTAAATTAGCCTAATTATTATACATATAATATAAATTAAAACATATATATAACATGTGGGGTGCGGTTTGATAACTCAAAACTGCAAACTGCGCCGCACAGTGCGGTTTGGTAAAAATGCAAACTGCAAACCTTTTTGCGGTGTTTTCCTTTTCCAAAAAAAAAACCTTTTTGCGGTGTGGTGTGGGCAGTTTGTGCGATTTGGATGAACCCTCCTAGTCTAACGTACTTTCAGAACTTTCATTTTGGTACCTCATATGTGATATCTCAAACATTTAGACCAAAAAACGTTACACAAAAATAGAACGCGGATCAAATTACAATTTTCCCAGAAGAAAACCGAGAGAGAGGTAGGACCTGGCACATGAGAAATAAAGATCCACGCAACTCTCGAGAAATTCAGCTCGTCTGCAAACAGCAGAAAATGGAGGACACATTTTCGCAAGATCAACCAAGAATCGAAGAACGGATGCTGCAGCAGCAGGAGCAGAAGCATCTCCACCCATAAGACGAGCGGCATAAGTTTTGTGCATCAAAGCTTCACCCTGAAGCTCTCCAGTCATTTCTGCATTTCCTTCGGCAAGCTCCGCCGCAAGCCCGGCATTAGCCTGATTAAGATTCCCGCTTTCAAAGGCAAGCATTGTCTGGGCAGACAACCTATCAAATGTCGATTTAGCCATTGCAATAACGGAATCCAAAAGTTCTAAAAATCTTATATCCACAAGACTTGCATCACTCGGCAATAACGCATGAAAGTCCAGCAGACGAACTTCGGGTACTCTCGGATACACGGCCTTACCAAATATCAGACAAAACAACACATAATATATATCGGGAGAGTCGTAGAAACTCGGGAGAACCCTCGTCAATCCTTGATACCCTCCACTCGTTCGAAATTTAAGAGCGAACGTCGGAGAAGAGGTAAGACACACACCAAGGAGAGTCATAATCCATCTCATGCTAGTAGGATGAACGGCTTCGTCAAGAAAATACGTTATTAATTTAGACGAGACGATCTTATGCCATTGCTCAAGCAGCTCTTCAGATGCTATTGTTACCAAGAGATCGATTAGCATCTCGAGCAGCATATTTCTAACGATAATATGCTTCCCCATTGGCTCCCTCATTATCTGAGTCCGTGATGACAGTTCCGGGGGATCGAAAGTCATAATTACAAACCTAACAACATGTTCCAGTTCCGAGATGACAAATCCGTCCTCCAAGATAACTCCTAGAAGGACGACTAACTTTTCCAGCACAGGAACCTCGACATCGCCCCTTTGTAGCGTTACGAGCAGATGTTGAACAAGGTTTATCCTACGTAAAATGGTAAGATTATGATTCCTGTACCAATGCATTGAGACTAGATTCTCGAGAAATCCCAAAAGAGCGATTTGTATCGGGACCGCAGCTGCTACCCACACGGTCCAGTCCAATAATACATGCTCAACCATATCTGCATTTGAAAGAACTATGCAATTCGGTGTTTCGGCAGGAATGTCGTGATCATCGAGTTCCGATATATGACTGAAAGAATCTTTAGGCATAGAAGAAAAGTCATCCATTACCTCATCTGAACCAGCCGAAGAAACTTCATCCTGGAACTTGGTCAGATTAAGCTCGTCAAAGCTGTTTTCGTATACAGTCGTTACAGGCGATAGATTATCGATCAACTTCTTAGGTCCCGGAAAAGAAGCCTCACAAGCAGCAATTTGAAAAAATATCTCGAGCGAACGCATGTCGAACAACGACATTCGAGAATGCAGAAAGAGAGCTAGCAAATGATACCCTCTAAAAGCTTGCATRTCTCTAATATTTTGTGGATTTTGATTAAGCGCGCAAGCAAGCAGCGTCAATGCCATTTGCAGCATGTCACTGGTTTCCGCCACTTCAACAAGAGCTAAGACCACGGCTATTCCACCAATGGGACGAACAGTTTCACCGATTATAGAGTGCTTACAGACATAAACATCACCATGAAGACGTCCAAAACGCGGTATACCTGGCGGAAAAAGATTCAGAAAACTTTAGAAATGTCCCAAGAAGTACGGCCCTTGGTGCACCAAGGCTCCTCGGTTTTTACCAGGGTTGGGAAGGAAGTCCTTGAACGGCCTTTCCCATGCATTTTTGCAAAGAGGTTTGTTTATGTGATTCAAACTCGTGACCTTACTTTCACAAATGAATAACCAAACCAAACGAGCCCATTATATCCCACCCAAAGGTGGGGGTAGAGCAGTTGTTCCCGTGAAGATCCAAGTATTGTGAAAAGTGTGTGAAAGAGAGAAAAAGCATATAAGATGAATTTTGAGAAGGTAGTTACATGTAAGCAATAACATACAAGTATAGGCAGGTACAAGAAAAACACAAACACATTCATAAATGAATAACTTTAGCAATTGGTGGATGCTCAATGAAACAAACCCCACCCCCCCGGCCCAATAACCATACATAAGAAGCTAAAAAATTTAGATGGTTATATGTATAGGGGCAGGTTCAAATGAGAATCATAAATATTTTGGCAACCATGAGAACTAGTGTTGCATATACATTATACGAATTTCAATGAGTATACACATCAGTGCGTATATACTTGCATAGATAGTATAAATATACAAATTCTCAAATGCATATTTTAATAATGTATAAGCATCAATGCATACATACATATATATATATATATTTGTGTGTGTAAATATGTATAGAGTTTTCACACATATATATATATATATATATATATATAGAGGGAGGTTCAAGGAAGAACCCCAAAAAAATGAAAAAATAAAAAAATGAGCAACACTCTTTCATCTGGACGTATGCACAAGTGCATACAAGTTATTGAAGTTGTTTCTTGGTTTTTATGCACGTGTGCATGTTATGCACATATGCATGCCGAACAAATTGCTTACAAATTACTAGTATACACATATGCATACCGTCTAAATGAATAGTCACTAGGGTGTTCCTCATTTTTACATTTTTTTGCGGTTTTCCCCAGAAACCGACATATATATATGTGTGCATATATATATATATATATATATATACCCTTGAAAGAGTGCATAATAGCTCACTGATAGAGCGCTCTTGTGCCGAAGATGATATGTGTGTGTGTGTGGCGCATAAGGTTGGGTTCTGGTGAGAAGGGTAAAAAGGGATCTCCACCTTTGGATCAATCCTAATTGAAGATCAACACTATTGAGATGCACCGGATCAATTCCTTCTAAAGCACAATTCATGAGTGGACATGAGAATAACAATGATCACGGGTGGAGATCCCTTCTTACGCTTCTCACTAAACTCTTTTTCTCACACGATCCTTTGTTATGTGCATATATATATATATATATATATATATATATATATGTATGTATATATATATATGTATGTATATATATATATATGTATGTATGTATGTATGTATGTAAGTATGTTTGTGTGTGTGTGCATATATATATGTGTGTGTGTGTGTGCATATATATATATATATGTGTGTGTGTGTGTGTGCATATATATATATATATATATAGAGAGAGAGAGAGAGAGAGAAAAAGGATCATGCGAGAAGTTAAACAATTTGCGAGAAGGCGAGAAGTTCCAGTATCATATATGATTCCTTTGGGTGTGTTTAATCATATATGATTAAGTGTCTATTTGTTGTCAATGTAACATGTGTTTTATCATATATGATTAAGCATACATATCATGCATGTAATCATATATAATATTGAAACTTCTCACCTCTCTCAAATTGTTCACAACTTCCAGTATGAAACCAACTCTATATGTGTGTGTGTGTGTGTGTGCGCATATATTAGTTCTCATGGTTCTCGAAATATTTATGGTTCTCATTTGAACTTCCTCTCTATGGATATTAGTTACAAGTTGGCAACAGACCTCCAATAGGGGAAGCAGCAGCTGACAATGGATCAACAAGATTGAGCATTGACAAAGTTCCAGATGCCGGAAAGGCTTCCGTAGATGTTCCATCAAATGCAAATATGAGTTTCCTTCCCGAGAGTTGTAGCGCGAGGTTCCCTAATCTTTCAAAATCCCAAACCATTCCACTACGGTCCGTCCTCGATCCTCCTTGCTTATTACCGCTCTCAGTCCTCTGATTGTTAGAACTCAACGCCAATTCTGTTTCTAGTGAATCTAAGATGGCCATACTTCCCCCACGACAAGCCTGGTTAGGGACAAACTGCAAAAGATTCGTGTCTTGAAAGAGTCCCCGATACCCTCTACCCAAAATATACATAAAATAAATGGAACCCGGTGTCAATACTTCTTCAAAAAGATAGCAAGATCGTAGCTTCCACGCCAAATCACCGACCCGGGCACAAGTTATCGGTGTTCCAATGGTTACCTGCAAAGACTTGCCGCCAGGAGAGGGGGAATATCCTAACCTCCCCGTGTGTCTAAGCTTCCCGTTAAGATACACATATGCAACACTTGCTTGGAAGAGTCCGGCCAACGCATTCGGTTTGCTATGCACCACGGCGAGATGATGCCATTGTTCTTCACTTATATCTAACCCCGAAAAAGATAATGAAGATGAATTGCTGGTTGCAAGGGTTAAAGTCCCATCCTCCTGAAGATAAAGTTCTGCGTAGAATGTATTGCCGCCATCCGTAGCACCGACTGAGAACATGCGTAGAACTTGTGGGCCCGTATGCCTTTTGGAAGGTTCCGTATCTTTTGCATTTGTTTTCAAGAGATTCTGATATTGAAACCAACAAACGAACGAATAACCTGCAGCAGGGGGCCATGATCTCTCTCCTAGCGACACATGAATTGACGCATATCCGATCTTTCTCATATCCATCTCTAAAAATGGTGCAAGAGGAACGTTTTCCAAGGCCGTGTCTTGCATCAGAACCATCCTTTCCATCATATCGACAAGAATATGGCCGGGTTTCTTCTGTCTAACTTGCAGAATGCATCTAATAATCATTCTAAGTTCCGCTGGTGACAATCTGAAACGAAAAACACATACTGAGATGAAAAGAGGACTCTAAATGTGGGTTGAGTAATATTTGATGAACAATTAAGATATAATTTCTAGAGTTGAAAAAGTTTAACCTATAAGCCCCAAGTACTTCCACAATCTTTAAAGCATGGGAAAGTAGAGAAGATGAACCCGAAAGAAACGGATAAATTGTCTCCAGAAGAAGTTCCACACAACCTGAACAGAGGAACACAACAAAAATAAGATATAAGTTGCTTCTAAGGCTATGTTTCGCAAACTAGCCAATAAGCTAGTTGTTGTATAATAAGATAGTTGTTGTATAATAAGCTAGTTGTTAGCTGAACAGCTAGCCGGTGGCTAATAAGCTAGTTGTTAGCTGATAAACTAGTTATCAGTCACGTTTGGTAAAAACTAACTAATAAGTTGGATGACAGTGTAAAATGATCTAAAAGAATATGTTAAAAAATTAATTGAAGAAGAAGTGACCCCGGAGCTTATTAAAAACCCATTTGAAGTAGCGTTTCAAAAAGCTATCTTATACATGGGTTTTTGGCTCCCTATCGGGGCTTTTTCTATAACTCAAAAAATAAGCTAGTTTATGGAGCTTATTGAAAACCCAGTTGAAGTAGTTTTTCAAAAAGCTAGCTTATAAGTTGGTTTATGACTCACCTAACGGGGATTTTTCAATACGCTTAAAAAATAAGCTACTGTGGTACAGATGTAAAATGAACTACCTGCAGATGTTAGGTTCTCTAGATTAAAGGGGCCAGCCCAAGCAAGTTCATCAATAAGTTTAAGCAACTCCAGCTGAAGTTTCGGAGTGAAGAGCAACAATGAACGGATGAGAACCCTAATTGCACCAGCATTATATATTCTCTCCTTAGTAGCAAGAAACGTGCCCGACTGAGTAATTATAGGGAAAGCAGTTGAGGAGTTTCCAACAGCATTTGATGACGATGATGCTGTAGTTTCTGGGGTCGAAAATGGTGGAAGTATGATCTCAAGCGCAAGTTCAAGAAGCAACTGCATTACTTGCCTTTCACACTCCACACATATCAAGCCGGACTCCGATAAAAGATCATAGAAAGTATGTGAGGATAGAATTGAATTTAACTTTTCCCTATTAACAGCATTATTGTACACCCCAGCTGTCGTTACACGCAATAAATACGTGAAAACCCTCATGCAAACCGTTACGAAAGATGGTTCGATACACCCTTTATCTCCCTGAAAACTATGAAGTGTTGTTAAGAGGAGAGAAAACCCAGTGGCTTCACCGAATACTCTCTGAGCGGAACTATTGGCTCCTAAAATCCGCCATATTGCTCCAAAAACATCACATTTTGCATCATCTTGAAGATCATATTGAGATCCCAAAGCACTCGTAACCATCCCACTCTTTGAAACTTCAACCAACATGCTCAATTCCTCAGAATGGGCCTAATGAAGATGGAATATTTGGTTCAATTAGAAGTTGAAAAAATCAAAAAAAATCAAACAGTAAGCAACAAAAATATGGCCAACAACCCTTCGGTTAATTCAACAAGACCTTCGGATTGCTCTGAAATGGTCCCCAGATTGAGTCCCATCAGGGCCACTGAAGCTTTTCCCATCTGCCAACTTCGGGGCTCCATGGGATTAGTCGAGGTGCACGCAAGTTGGCCCAGGTACGGGTTATTTAGGAAAATGATCTGTCAGATTTTTTTAATGCATGACCTTTTGACAGATTTTTTTAATGCATGACCTTTTGACAGATTATGAGACATTCTAGCCTTCTTTAATTTGTCAGCATCATGCAAATTGAGAAAGAATAAGTTAGAAAGCTATAGCTATTTTCCTAAATAACCCGTTTGGACACCCACGGTTATCATAAAAAAGACCAACCTGTGCGGAATCTTCAATAATTAGACATGATAACACACGTAGGACGCCAGGACGGTGAACATCAGACACCAAAAAAGGAAGAGCGGTAGTTACACCATTAGCAGAACGGAATGTCACTTGATTCTGTTCTGCTTTCTTCAGTAAGTAGAACAAACAATCCCAAGCAACCGCAATTGTGCCTTCGGCTTCAAAAAGAGAGAACTTTCCGGAACCAGACTCCCTTAATTTTGGAGATGAAATAATCGCATCTTTACTGTGTAAATGTTTCTTGAAGTTGCTCGAGTTGGACTTCCTTTCCAGATCATCACCGTCACTGTTGTGCTGCTCCGGACCCAACAGAAACTTGTGCTGCTTGAGATCATCCAGCAGAACTTCCAACACACCAACTTCTCGCAACACTCTTTTGTACTGTTGATCAAACGACAATAATTTTATAAAGAACGATAAGATTGTGCGCTTCAACTCGGATACTATATGTTGTTGCAATAAGCAGCAAAGCGCGAGCAGTTCTTGTTCAGGTATGCAATTAACGACAGTCACTGCGTACTCAAGAATCTTAAGGATGATTTCTTGCAAAGAGGGAGGGAAACCGCCCATATTTAGGATCAATAACGGCACCGTCCGCAACTGCTGACACAACATATAGTTGTCGAGATGGCTCGAGAATATCTTGAACATCCTATTTAGCACTTCCGCCTGCAGCTCTCTGCTATCTGCTTTCAAGAAAATGTCCTGCAACACTTGGATGGCATCAAGATCCTTAACTTTATAATTATCTTTCTCCCAACCATCATCTGAGGACCGGTCAGAAGAGGACCAAGTTTTTCTCCTGCCATTACCCTTTGACCCTGCATCGGTTGGACCTGTTTGAGATAGATTGACAAGAACATCAAGCAATCTAGAGAGAATGGGTGAGAGACACTGTGGTGAGGTGGGTCCCTGCATTTCTGGGTCATTGGTTCGGTTTAACCCTTCTGAAGAAGAAATATGTTCAGAAGAAGATCTTGGAAGGGTAGTTTCAAAGTCTTGAGCTTTTGAAAGAACTAACGCAAACTGAACGAGATACTGGTATCCATGAGCATTACGAACATCCTCCCTCAGCCTGGTATCACCAGCCTCTACAGACAACAAAAACAACAAGCTTTTATTCCTAAACTAGTAAACCAAATAAACATTATAAGACGGGCAACCCTAAAGCAAGCAGCAAGTACAAAAGAAATGATTGCATAAGTTGAATTAGAGCTGATAATTTGTGGGTCGGGCCTAACCTATTTTTCTTGCCCAATGGGCCTAATATGGCAAACCCAATTACCCAAGCCCTTTTTACGGGCTTGAAAACTTGCCCATTCCCGCTCTATAAGTGGGCCAGGCTTACCCACAGGCTAAGGGGCCTAGAAACCTTTTTATATATTTTCAAGAAAACATAACTTCTATAAATTACAAGTTATGTAAAATAATTCAAAATACATAACAATTTTTCCAACTTAAATTAGATGTAAATACATAACAATGTACATAATTTAGAAAAAAACTGTTTTGCAAAATATGGAGTAGTGATAGAGGAAATGACCAAATGAGATAATAAGGAATTGATTCACTGAGGTAATTAGCTTTTACTTTTTAGATTTATAAAGTGTGTTATTAACTTATTATCATGAGTCATAATTATAAGTGGGAATTGACAAGTATCAAGAATTTTCATTTTATTTGTAAATTTTAATTACTATAAAAATATGAACGGGAAGGGCAAGCCTGCCAAAAAAAATTCCATTGCCCATGCCCGCCCATTAATTTTAACAAGTCAGTCCAGGGCTCCAGGCCCAGCCATTCTTCGAGAATGGTAATCCAAGCCCGCTTTTCTAGCGGAACGAACAGGACAGGTCTAGCAGGCCCTCCAGCCCATAAAGAGCTTTAGTTGAAATACAGTTCTACTTTTAGGGTTATTTAGCTAAGGCTACATTTGGCAAACTAGCTGATAAACTAGTCATGTTTGGTAAAACTAGCTGATAAGCTACATGACTATGTAAACTGACCTAAAAGGACATTGAAAAAGTAATTGGAAATATAAGGGGCATAACTGGTAAAAAGTGGGAAAACCCATGGAGCTTATCGACATGCTACTTGAAGTAGCTTTGGCTGAAAAAAGGGGACTTTTTCAATAAGCTCAAGATAAGGTTAGCTTATGGTTGCCAAACAGGGCCTTTATCAAAAACCAATAAACTTGAAACTGAATTAGATTCAGCAGAGAAAGCAACTGACCAGGTCTATATGACAATTCTATGCATTCAAGCAACATGTCCACAATCCCCATTGTATATGCAGGGTCGCCACTTCCTGGCTTGAAGTCCCTCACAGCGCTTAGCAGTATTTTAATCTGCAAGTGATTATTAACGGTATCAGAAACTTCAGATTCTAAAAAAAATTTGAAGAACCAAATATAATCAAGGGGATAGATTACCAGCTGATGTTTCCTTATGTACTTGGCGGTGCTTCCATTGTCGTTAGCCATAAGAAGACCAAGTATCTGGATAATGTAATGAATGTAAGACTAAAATAAGATAAATTTAACAATGATAGATATAACTGGTTATATTAATTCTTGGGGTCACCTGCATTGCATGTCTATGAAGCTGAATATTGTGCAACGGTGCAAGACCTTCTTTATATCTTGAAAATAAAATCAGAGATCCATTGGCAACCATCTTAAAGAGTAACTCAAGTGATGTGTCTTCAATCAAACTCTGAGAAGCTGCAGGATGACTTGCCAATGCCTTCATAATATGCACAATGCTGCCCTCTACCTTCAAGGATAAAGCCGAGCATTAGCAAACGTGGGAATGTTCTATTTAAGCCCAAATAAGCAATCATTATGTGGGTTATTTATAAGAGTTATAACTCGGACATATATCCTAAAACAACCAAACAAGCCCATTATATCCCACCTGGAGGTGTAGTCGGGGGGGAGGGGGGGATGTATGCAAGCGGCCTAAGCGTTTGCTTGTTAGCAGCTGAATGAGCTTAATAGGACTCACAACTTATTCAGTCAGCTATACATGATTGTTTGGTAGTGGTTTAATGATATGGATAGTGGCTTATTCAATAAGCTTCTATGGGGGGATCTATGCAGATAGACAAGTTTTTTCCGTACTTGATTCTTCCAATTAAAACACATGCTCCTTCCATCTATGAGAAAACCCTTCCAAACAAAAACCTTCTCAATCTATACAAATAGATTAATCCGCACAGACAACTTTATCCATACATGACTTTATGGAACGAACCAAACAGCCCCTAACTCTACCGAAAAGAGTACAATGCATGTTTCCGTGAAGACACTGGCTTGTGCAAAGTGTACAACATAGAAAAGGAGAAAGCAGAAACTCAAACATATATCCTAAGAGCTCTATTTAAGGGGATGATTGGAAGGCCATAAAAGCAAGGATTGCATAGATAGGCATAATGGCAGTAACAACTTGACCAAGCAGACAATGTATGTGATCAAAGATTATGTGTCTGTTTGTTAGCAGCTTAATGGGACTCGGCTTATTCAGTCAGCTATATATAATTGTTCGGTAGTGGCTTAATGATATAGAAAGTGGCTTATTCAGTAAGCTTCTAGGAGGGAGCTTTATGCAGAAAGCCAAGTTTTTCCAAACTTGCCCCTCCCAATTAAATAAAACACGCTCCTTCCATGTATGAAAAAACCTCCCAAACAAAAACATTCCTGATCTATACAGACAAATTAATCCACACAGACAACTTTATCCATACTTAATGGAAAACCAACCAAACACCCCCTATGTGTTAAAAACTTAAAATATAAACGCCATATAAATATGAGTGATAACATAGAATACCTCAAGTCGTCGATTTGGTTCTGTGTTATCCACGCCTTCTGGTTCCTTTTCAATGGAAGTAACCATTTGCCTTGTATTCCTTCCATCAGGACCCATAAGGGCATTGAGAATATGAATGAGACAACATAAGATCCCGGAATCAAGGAGAGATTGTTTATCAATAGGCTGCCAACAACAAATATAGAGGTCCATTATTTGAGATGAAGATGACAAAGATACAAATCTTCATATTGCTCATCCTTATTGCAAATCAATAACACCAACAAATCCCATAAAAAGGCCATGCTTTGCAACCATAAGCTCTTATTTTTTAGAGCTTATTGGAAGAGTCCCATTTGGTAAGCCATAAAGCTTACAAGCTAGTTTTTGGAAAAGCTACTAGTGGGGATCTTCACTTTTTTTAAAATTATTCCCCATAAGTTAGAATTGGGTAATTTTATCAACATGTCATTCTAGGTCAATTTACATTGTCATCTAGCTTACGAGCTAGTCTTTACCAAGCGTGATTAGTTTATCAGCTAACAACCAGCTTTCAGCTAGTTTGCCAAAGATAGTCAGGCTGCATAATAACACAGTTCAACTTTCATAGGTATCAAAATACAAAGTTCACAGTTGAAAATTCATACTATAAGAGCAACTAAAAAATTATTATACCATCAAAGAGTGCAATGCAGCTAAAAGAAATTATTTTAAAAGAAGAAAGGTTAAGATTGTACCGCAGACACAAGGAATTCCACTGCCTGCAAAAGATTTGAACCCGGCCGAATTCCATCCTACAAAGATACAGAAATAGTATTACTGCAGATTGAACGAAGTCATAAAGTCTGCCCAAGAGACAAAGAGAAGGATTTGAAAGAAAACCTCTGTAACCTCCGAAAAGTAGCCTATCAGACTTTCAATCTCCAACAATCGTGCTTTGCTGCTCAATTTTAACTTCTCAATATCTGTAACAAATGCTCTACCAACCACAAAAGAAAATATGTGTGTCTCTACTAACCTGCAAATTAACAACATTTACCAAGGACAGTAAATACTAAAAGCAATAACTCTAAGTTCCAACTATTTAGACTAAAAGGTGACATAAGATGAAGCAAATAATAAAGGAAAGATATAAGGAGAAGTTAAGTGGTCATACATGGTAATCAATTGTGCTACATTAGAATGTTGCTTTACAAATCTACAAAAGACATCGACAGTCATATTCAAGGCCTTTTCTTTCTCCTGCATAAACAAATACAATTGTGTCAAACAGCTACTACAAATAACTAACAAAGTAAATAGTGCGCACAAACCTTCTCCGAAGTCGATGAGCGGAACTCTTCCCAATGTCTCTTGAAGTCCAATTCCAGTTCATATTTGTCTCTGAGACACAAGGTGATACAAGTAAATCATTGGCTTTTCACAATAATCATCACTTTTACGAAATGAGTCTTTCTTCCTCTATTACAACACCAATCATGGACGCTTAGCATAAATGCTAAAATAACTTATTTGACATTCATAAGCCAAATAAAAATGGGTATACGCCACTCTTTTGCAGCACCCCCACCGTGCCGGTCCCACGGCCATCATGGGAGAGGAAAATCGCCGTGTCCCAGGGCAGGTGAGTGGCACGCAGATTCGAACCCGAGACCTCCATGATGGATTCTGGCCTCCTTACCACTAGGACTGAATGGCAGGGACCATTCATAAGGCAAATATGGACTCTTCTATTGGATTTAGAGAGTAACATTTCTAATTAAATGAAAAACTTCATTTTTTGCTTTCAATGTCCTCTCACTCTCATTAAATGGAGCAACTCTTCCATCGAGATCACACATTTGATAAGCCTAATCCATTTAACATGTTTATTTCAATGTTCATGCTCAATAATTCAATTCATTATACCTTGGGACCGATCTTACATCACCATATTAAATGCTTACCAAAGCCTAGTCAAATTTATGGACTTATGGAAGCACTCTCACCCTAAGTTCGCCAAATGATTTGATTCTTTTCCATCGAAGTTCGTCCTTTTTATTAAAGAAAATTAACAATCTTATGTCTTCTAGACCTTGGTGTAAATCCAAAATTGCAATCACAAACGCCTAAATTATTGAGAGATGAACCATCAAAAGTTGTTTTACAAGTTGTGGCTTGTTACAAGAAAGAGTTGCAAGTATTAGGAATGACCGCTATTTGTATAAAGAGGAACTCGCGATGGCTATTAGCCTATTAGTATTATGAGTTGACATATATAACGGATCTCTCGGTATTTTCCTTTTTCCACATCTATCTTATTGATTATGTAGACAAGAAAGCGCAAAACTTTGTATCTGAAATGTTCGATAATAATCAAAAATCATGTAATAACAGAGAAGCATGATCAATTATTCAATCTATCAACTATAATAGCCAGATTTTACAAATCAAATTATGCAAATCAGTTCTTCATGAACTATGTGTTTCAAGTGACATCAATTTTTCAGATCCCAATAAGAGGAAGTTGATAAAAGGATTCAACAACTTAAAGCTGATGTCTATTTCTTAAAACCTCAAATTCCAAACATTGCATTGGAAGACTTCCAGCAAACACCTTAAATTCAGTAAATCTTAACCCCTGCTACTTCAAGTTCTTGAAAAGTTTAACAATATCATCTCTATGGTAAAACAAACAAAGAAAAAAGAAAGAAAGAAAGCAACTGACTACATGATCATCTTGCATATCAATATCTTGGATACACAAAAACATGAAAAAAGAACCCTGACCTTGAAGAAGGGGACGAGAAGTAATGGTGGTTTGAAGAAGTAGTAGCATTGTTATTATCCTGATAAAGAGGTGATGGAGAGGCGGATGATGACGGAGACGATGCAGCAGAGGCAGGCCCTGATAACCCTACCTTCTCTTTGAAGTCTTTAAGCAATGATACCCATTTCATCGTTTTTAATTACCTCTCATCCGCCGGAAAAAGGAAACAAACGGCCCCTCAATTTTAACGGCAGACCGGATCCGATTACAATCCGTTAACTTAGGAGGATCTCCGAGCTGAAATAACCCCCAAAAATCCTCCGTCAAATTAATTTCAACAAAGACCGATGGGAAAAAAACCCTAAAGTGAGCTGATCGGACGAAGTCAATTAGGGGTTTCGATTTGGAACAAGAAGAATAGATGAAAAAAGATCTATAGACGATAATCTTCAAAGAAAAATGCTGATCTGTCTATATCCTCAAATTACAACAATGCCTTGATTTTTCTCCTCTTTTTGAGATTTCTTTTTGATTTTTGTGCCCTAGAACTCGATGTCTGATTGCCCTCTGGACGGCAACTCGTCGTTTGTTTCTCGCTCTGCAATTTTTCTCTTTCTCTCTCTGAAACTTTTTTTTCTTTCTCAAAGAAACTGCTAAACCCTTTGCTTTTTTTCTTCATCTTCTTCCTTAATATTTTTCAAAGGGAAATTTCCATTTTACCCCCTTGTACTATCTCGCAATAACAAATTCGGTCCCTGTATTTTTATTTCATCCTTGTGGTAGTTGACCTATGGATTTTTCGAGTAAATTCAACAAACCTAACTACTAACTAGCCCTCTCGGTAAAAAGATTCAAAATAGTTATCGGTCAAACTGATCTGGGTCGAGCTTATATTCAGCATTACTTGAGATAAAACACCGTTATGAGTGTATACTTTATATGAAGTGTTTCATATGATTTGTAGTTATTTAAACGCATTGAATTAATTCTGATTTTGTTTAGGATTTAGTTTTGGTATCGTTTGACGGGTGTGCTTTTCAATTTCGGCTTATATGAGCCAGATCAATTCGAGTTTTTGTGTGAAACACGAACTTGTCTGTGTCAGGCTTTCACAAGTTAGGTTATGAGCAATCAAGCTCGCCGTTTAGTTATGCACGTTCTGTAAAGATGGATAGTGGTTCTTTCAGCTGCGTTGAGAGTGGGAAATAAATCTGGTTGGATCATGTTTCGATTTGATATTCAATTTACCATATCTGGAAAATACAACTGTTTGTTTTAAACAAAATTTAGCAAATGAATTTGGCAGATAATCAAATGTTTGAAATGTAATTCCATTAATACAAAAAACATTATAGGAAACATTTGAATGTGTTATGAATTTTTAAATTAAAGCTACTGTCTGTTTACGTGTATGTCTTCAAAATAATTACTGCAACGTTTCAAAATCACAATCAGATAACTATATACAAGAAAATGATTAAAGTTTATTGATAGTTGTATAATTCTACACGTATTTTGAAATAATAGGTTTACTGTAGCAACTAATTATCTGCTTTTTTAAATATAATTATTTTGGTCATGAAAATTCCAAAAGAAAAGCACAATCAAACGAGAATTTGACAAACATTGCAGTTTCAAACACTCTTAAGTTGGTTTAGTTTGCTTGTTAGGTAAAGTCGTTATCGAGGAGCGGCTTGAACTGTAAAATAATCTTATCTTTAAACCCTATATTTCAATAACACAGCAATATATAACTGTTAACCACAAGGGTGGTGTCTAATTGGTTTGAGTTTTTACTCCAATTGTTAAAAGTGCATGGAGGTTTCAGGTTCAAATCCAATGAGGAATAAAAATCCCCTTGTGGCCATGGAGATTCAGATGCGGTGACTCCGAGCTATCCACAAAGCAGGCGGTCGTCTTGGGATTAGTCGGCTCGCATAACGGGTTGGATATCCAAGTTAATAGAAAAGAACAATATATAATTGTTATTGCCAAAAAACATTCATCTAGACCGAATGCTTAATGATACAAGCGTAACGAGTTTAGTGGGGGCCTCAATGAACCGGATCTAAATATAGTTCAGTCATCGAATGCTTAATTGAGTGTATTTTCAAGTCAACCGATGGTAGACCGATTAGTTACCTATGGGACCTTGCGTGTGAACTAAAATCGAGATGAAAATCTTCTATGATGCAGTATAATAATACAGCTAAAAACAATATAAACAAGAGTAAATGCATGTAAATGAGATTTTGTCGAGAACGGTGTTCAAAATATATATTTTTTACTATAATTATTAAAACTAATTGCACGTTCACCAAACACTTACTGATTTTTACTGGGTAAGTTGTTGTCGCGGTAAGAATAATGTTGTTTACCCTCACTGTCTGACCGACAATGTCGTTGATTGATACGTTGTCCATATAAGGATCAAGAGCCTCGCTTACTTTGTTAGCGCTTGCTCGAAAAGCGTTAGCTTGATTCATGTTCGTAAACAGGGCGTACGTTAAAAAAAAGGTGAAAACTGATGTATCAGATATCGTAACTTCATGGTAAAACTTATAAAACGTTATTGCGCTTTTTTTTCCATTACGTACTTAAATAAAAGATTTAGCAGTTACATGATTGTACATTCATAATTATATCAGTTACTTTGTTTTTGTCAATCTTGTTCCTTTTAATTAACACGGGATGAGAATATCAAGAAAATGAATAATATGAAGAGATAATGTCAAATCACATCAGTTATTGTCAGTAAGGTATGCAATGGGTTGCAAGACCAATTCGAAAACCGATGAATCAAAAATAATGATGGAACCGAAAACCAACCAATTGAAATCATTTCAGTTTTCGTTCAAAATTTATTCTACCCTAAACTGGATCGTGAACCAAATACATACCTGAATTCGTTCTCATTTAAAAAATAAAAAAACGTGTCGTTTCAAGTTTGAAAAATGATGTACATAAGTGATATGGGTTCAATTTTGAACCATATCGGTACAACCACTGACTTATTTAAAAAAACAAACATACAACTGATAACCAGATCGAACATAGATCGTTTTGGTTCGATCCTGTATCGATTTTGCTGGTCCAGATAAAATTGTTCACCTATCTTGTTATCGATAACATATGTTCATAACCAAATGTAAATTTTATAACATGCAAAACAGGAAAGATAATGAGGTATATATAGTAAAAGTTATATATACATGTAGGGTATTTAATAAAAGAGTGTATACGTGTATACAGGTGTGTACACACACATATATATACGATGACTACAAGTTGTTGGTTGCCTTCATAATTCATCTTGTATCCAATCCAGATCGTTAAGAAATCATACGTGTAAAACGTCTTACGAAGTCTTTCATACCCTGTTCTCGTTACACACGTCAAATATGTATACAGGTTTTTGGGTTCCTTCTTTATTCATCTTGTATCCATGTAGGATTCTCGAAAAATTATGCACGTATTTGTCTTTCTTACAATTTTCAACACCCCATATTCACTTAATTAAAGAAATTTTTTTTACCAAACAAAATTTATCTTTTAACGATTCAGATGTTGCATCTTGATAGAACTATTAAGGGGTAAACAAACAACATTTAAGATATATATATATTGGGCTTGTTTGATTTAGGCAACAACCTTGTCGCAACAAGTTGTGTTACCATCCTTACAAATGGTTTCGATCAAGAAAGTAGACGTGAGTTACGTGGCCAAAAAACATAAAATAAAGTTTACGGGTCAAAAAAAGGAAATAATAATAATTCAGGGTGTAAAAAGACGTTCTTGATAGTATAGGGGCTAAAAATAACCTTTTCCAGGACTTTTCAAATTTAATTACGACCGAGTCAGAGGATCCACGCCTCCAAAAGAGCCACGTGTCAAGTTGTGATCTAGTACCAAAGACGTGACGCCCTCTCACGATTCTTTCATTTCTATTTTTTTCCTTTTGGCTTTTCCTTTTTTATATCATCGAGAAAAAATATTCCACAAATACATATTATATTTTCATTTTATTTAAACAAAAAGCTGATTACTGACAACTATACATGAAAATCGTCATCCTGATTCCTCGATGCAAAATCTATAGCATCGTTAATCTGTTCCACCGTCGAAAATATATATTGATATACCTTAAATATATAGATTAACATCATTTGAGGTTACAATGTTGACTATTTGAAGTAATATTCTGTGTAAATCAATATAAATCAGTTGGGTTTCATCTCATCCATGTTAATGTTTTTCTTCACCATTTTAAACAAAACARACTTTTTTGGAACAATCAATCTCATAATCAAAAGCTCATATTGGTTATAGCTTGAGATCTTATTTTCTTATTTTCTTATTCTAGATATATGATAGTACTTAAAATTCACGCACTTAATATTAGGTAATAAGGAATYAATATGAATGAAAAAACAAGGATGTTTTGAAATCTTAAATATAAACATAACTTTATAAGTTGCATCGTCTTATATAGTTGGTAATTTTTTCAAAATGTATGAGTTTTCTTAGACAATGACAAGAAATCTAYTATATTCTAATACAAAAATAAAACTAATGCAGATGGAATAATAAAAAAAGTCAATGGGAGATGGATGATTTAAAACATATCAAGGTTTTCTAAGTAATTTTTWGACTTCGATACTAGATAAAGAAAAACTTAGAGAAATATCAAACCATATCGAGTAAAATCCAAAACATATCAAGTTTTTGTGTTGTGATTTGATATCTAAACATTACATGCTAAGAACCAAAAAAATAACAATTTTAGATTATAAACATGGTTGTAAATAGARATCATGAACTACCCATTTAGCTAAAATAAATAACATATATAATTTATTAATTAATATATATATGACGGGTATGGGGTGGGTGGGGCGGGCGGGGCGGGGAGTGCGATACCCGTCCCCATCCACAGTTTGAGACAAAATGGGATCCCGTCCGCGGCCGGGTCGGGGCCCATTCCCATGCTTACTGACAACCCCAACTAGTCCCACATATAACCCGTTTTCAAAGACACTAACATGATAGAATATTTTTTTTTTCACTCACTCAATTGTTCAAGCTAGCAGGAGGTTTACGATTGAACCCGAAATATGTCGTGTGTACAAATGGAAATATTACTCGTTCGAGCAAGTACCCGACCCTAACAGAGCAGGGATTCCCTGTCCCTTGCCGGGTCGGGGCCCATTCTCATGTCTACTGACAACCCCAACTGCTCCCACATGGAACCCGCTTTCAAAGAGATACTAACATGATAGAGCATTTTTGTACCCACTCAATTGTTGAGGCTAGGGGGGTTGCGATTGAACCCAAAATTTGCCGTGTGTACAGATGGAAAATTTTCCCATTAAGGCGGGTACCCGACCCTATCAAATGGGGATTCCCTATCACCTGCAGGGTCAAGGCCTATTCCCATGCCTACTAACACCTTAACTGGTCCCACATGGAATCTGCTTTCAAATACACTAATATGACAGATCATTTTTTTACTCACTAAGTTGTTGAGGCTAATGGGGGGGATTCGCGATTGAACCGGGAATATGTTGTGTGTACATATGGAAATTTTACCCATTGGGACAGKTACCCGAACCTAATGGAGCGGGGATTCCCCGACTTG